ATGTAGTAGGATGCGGATAACAATTTATACCCGTGGGTACCCCACACCTACTCCTAAATTTGAGAATATATATAAATATATGTCACCTATGTCGCATATTCTGACGACTAGCTCATTTAACATGTAATTTGTAGCTTATTATGTATAGCATGACAAACTACAAGATGATATTTTTTTATGGATGGCTGAATAAAGTGATTGTGTGAACTATTAACTTGTTACTTTAGTTCTTGTGTTAATTGTATTGTGTTATTTATATAAGCATGAATGACCGAATTATGAATTTATGATGTATATTGTGGCTTGTGACCTACTTTATATTGTCCTAGCGAACTCTATGTAAGTAAGATTGATTGATATATTTGCGTGTTGTTTAACTATGAATTTATTAGTGAGTAAAGTTTGTTGGCAGTCCTTAAACTCCCTAAACTCGTAAAACGGACATTTACCTAAACACTGTTCGGGTTTCACTCTAGCCCAACCAGGCGCCGACGCGGGTACAGATTTTGCAAATCCCCATTGCAGCGTGTTTAACCCTATGTCTGTGTTCTCGTGGAGCACTTATCGTAGCCACTTCAGTGTCCGTCGCCTCCGCCGCCAGCCATCATCGCTTGAATCGCCCCTCGCTGTAGCTTTCTTCACCCACATCGACTGTAGATCCGCTGCGCCATGGCAACCTCTTCTCAACATTCGAGCTCCTCGGCATCTCGTTTTCACCGAACACTACTGGACGCAGGGTCTTTGCCGAGGGCCTGACGCCCTAGGCAAAGGCTCTTCAGCCGTCGGCGAAGGATTTGCCGAGGGCAGCCCTCGGTGAAGAACCCTCGGGAAAAAAAACGTCGGCGAAGGAGTCTTTGCCGAGGGCCTTTTATCGGGCACTCGGCAAAGTATTTGCCGATGGCTAACGGCGGCCCTCGGCAAAGTAAAGTAGTCGTTAGGTTCGCGGTTATTTTCCACGGCGTCTTTGCCGAGGGCTGACATACAGGCCCTCGGCAAAGAGCTTTTTTTTGAAATTTATTTGCCGAGAGCTATACCGCAGGGCCCTCGGCAAAGACCTATTTTCTTTTTTTTTCTCGGAATTTCTTTGCCGAGAGCTATATCTAAGGCCCTCGGCAAAGACCTACGTTTTTATTTTTGTCTCGGAATTTCTTTACCGAGGGCTGTGTTCAAAACCCTCGGCAAAGACCTACTTTTTAATTTTTCCTGGGAATTTCTTTGCCGAGGGCTATGGTTAAGGCCCTCGGCAAAGACCTGTTTTTAATTTTTCCTGGGAATTTCTTTGCCGAGGGCTATGGTCAAGGCCCTCGGCAAAGACCAGTGAAAATTTTCAACATTCCACCTGTTTCTTGCTTTCCATGCAGACAAAATATATATATATATATATATATATATATATATATTCAACAGCAGAAATGTCCCACAAATATCACAATCATCACATATATCTCACAAATATCACATATATCTCACAGATATCACATAGATCATCACATGTATCATCACAAGTCCAAATTCAACAATTCCATAAGTCCACAATCTAACTCAAGTGTCAAGTCCACAAGTTCAAATCCGACTGAGGCTGGCCAACCTCTCCAACCGTCTGGCCTCTGCGTCACCAACCTTCCCAACCGTCTGGCCTCTGCGTCGAGGGTGGTGTAACGAAGCCTCCAGAATCAGGTGACGCACGAGGGGGGTTATTAGAACCCGCCGACTGAGGCTGCACAAACAATTATATGCTTATGTGAGATTGCAGTAATTATTCTAGGACTACAGTTTTAGTATTTAGACAGAAACCTATCAAATTTTTTATAGCTAGTGTTGTCTGGGTTTCTATGTCATACAAGCAAATCAGTAGCTAGTGTTCTCTGGGTTTCTATGTCACACAAGCGAGAAGTGAACTTTAACGCTTACAGGAGTAGCTGCAAACGCGTGCGGCACCTGAGGCGGAGGAGCTGACATCTGCACAGGCACACCCGTCTTCTGCCCAAGAGCTTGCATGATTTGCATCATTTCTGCAATCCTGACCTCCTGGGCCTCCCGAGCGGCCTGCTCAGCCTCCAGCCGAGCAGTGAGGGCCGTGATCTGCGCCGTCTTCTCGTTGTTCTGGGCCTGCAATATTGCACTCCAATATTTCAGTAATGCAAAACTAACTCAAGTGTGAGAATATTAATTTACGACGAGTAAAACAAGAATTACCTCGAGCGCATCGACCCGCTGCAGTGTCGGAGTAGGCCGTGAGCGTATGGGCTGGCTGGAACTCGTGCTCTGTGCTCGGAGCTGGCTCAGAGTGGGAACAGTGGTGGGGTCGATGGCGGCGTTCGCAATCCACGTCCGGCCGTGCTTCCTGCCGCCACCGAGCCTCATGATGGCCTCGGCATCAATGGGCTCGGTGCGGACGTCGTACTCTGGCCCGTGCCGCTGCTGTACCGCCGACGTGTACTCCTGGACTTTAGTGTACACGTTAGGGTCGGAGTATGCCTCGCGAGGGGCAGCCGGGTCCCAGGTGACGTCGCCGGCCACCCTGGTCTGGTGGGACATAGCCCACGCCGTGAACATCGAGACATCCTCGTCCGGGTGCGCAGCCTCCTGCGAGAAAGGCGGCAGGTGGTGAGCAATCAGGCATACGTTAAGCGTGAAACTAAATAGAAGAAAAATCACTTACATATGCCGATTTGAATCCGGGGAGACTCCTGCTGCCTTGATGGTGAGTGGCAGCTGGCCTGAGCATACGCAGTGCCCGCTGAGACTCGTGCTTCTCTATGTAGGCCGGCGTGAACCACCTAGCCACGATCATTGTCCAGGCGTCGGCATGCGCTCGGCACCACCAGGGAATCACCTACAAGTCAACGAGTGTTTGACATATATGAAGATGAAATTGAACATATTTAATTCAAAAACAAAACAATATCAATGTTATTCATGTACCTCAAGGTACTGCTCCTGGGTCAGCGTCATCTGTCGAGCCTCCCTCTTGGTGACTGTCATTCTACGAGCCGACGCGTAGTAGTCTATGTGGGCCTGGACGCGCGCCTCGTGAAACATGTCGGTGACATACTTCCTACAGGCTGCATGCGCCACACGATCAGCGAGGCCCTCGGTTCCTTCTTCGGCCCTGAAAAACCTCTGCATAAAAGATGATATATCCAATCGTTATTTGAAAAAAATAGAATTCAATGTGAAGGATTGATTAATGTTGTGCGAGAGGAACTTACCCAAAACTCAGCAAGTATCCGCTCCTGCTTGTTGCGGTACTGGTCGTCCTCGCCCAGGGCGTACCTGTCCCACGTGTAGGCTGGCTCTCGGGCCTCCGACGGCAACTCCACAATGCCGGGGAACCACTTCCGGCACAACACACCCAAGACGGTCGCGGGAGAGCGCAGAGGAGTACCTGACAACACCTCCCAAGCCCTGCACAAGTAAGAAGAAAATTTATCAGTTTCTCTTTCGATTTCAAACATATCATATGAAGTAGTTGTGATATCATTTATATTTACTTACTTGGGCGGCACAGGGCGAAGCACTAGACGGTTCTGAGGAAGCGGAAACGAAGGGAGCGTCGCCGAGCCTCGCTGGTAGACACCCGACGCCTCGCCTCCCTCGTCCTCGGGCGCCGCACCCTGCTCCTCCTCGACCTCCTCCTCCTCCTCCGTCGGTGGCACGGGCTCAGGGGGCTGAGTCCGCTGCCTCCAACCACTGCCTCCTGTCGTCTGCCTCCCCCTCCTCCCGCGGCCTCCTGCCGTTGTCCCTCGTCCTCCCGCTGCCTCCTGCAACTGTCCCTCGCCTGCCTCCCCCTCCTCCGGCGGCCTCCTCGAAGGAAGGGACCGGACCTTGACCTAATCACGTGCAATAAGTGCGGGCTTCACACAGTTCTAGAGTTGGAGACCAAAACTGATGAAAATGGGAATGGGAATCAAGGCCTCATATATTTACAAGTGCCTACCTCGCAATGTAAGTGATTTGAATTTGGTTGTTCGATCAGATTGTCGAAAATTTGGTTAAATTTTGGTGATTTTTCCTTGCTTTTGACTGAATCCCGTGCCTGCAGTGGGATGGATCTAGATGCAAGTTTTGAAGGGGATTCAAACACACACTAATTAAAAAACTGTTTTTAAGTAAAACACCCATGTGTTATGGTAAAGAGCAATAGCAGTGTAGCACAAACTTTAAGCAAAACACTGAACGCCGCAAAACATTTCGACCGGCGCAGTCGTCGCAGACAAAAAGCAAATGGAAAAAATTCCAGAACGGTCGAGAGATGTGCTTCTAGTTACGATGACCGCAAGTGTACACATCTATGCAGCTTTTACATGCATGCATGTGGATTGGACTGACGCCACAAGCCAAGTATTATCAACCAAATCATCAGCAAATTCAATTCCTTTGCTCCAAGTGAAGCTACCCCCGAACACTTTTCGCGAGCATTCCGTCATTGCACGCCTGGCTAGCTAGGTTACTAGATCGTTTGCAAATCTGTGGTGCGGCCAAACCAGAAACAATACCAGTAGTTGCGCCCCCGTGAAATGAATACCTTCGTCCAGACGTCATGTGTTCCGACTGTACTAGAGCCCGTCATCGTGCACCAACTTCAGAAGTGCCTGTGCCTATCTAGTTCGGCACCAACTCGCGTAACGGAACAACGCACGCGCATCCGCGCAAGCATGAGAACACGTACTTACAACGTAGGAGTACGTAGCCAGCGGTTGACCTGGCTATACACACACACACACACACACACACACACACACACACACACACACACATATATATATATATAAACCGGCCTGGTTCTTGCACCGATTCGCGCGAAAGCGAACTCCATGCCTTAGGGTCGAATATATCATCGTCGTCGTCGTCCGGGACTCGGGACTCGGGAGCATGTTGTTAAATCGCGCCAAGGCGCCGCGGGGCAGCAGGGCCACGGCAACAGGGCAGCAGCGCTGCTGGCTCTCGTCGCCTGCAGCTTCTGCGCAGCCACTGAAGACGACGGCGTGGGCGGCGATATGACGGGCTCGCGGTCGCGGCAGCTCGTCCTCCTGGTTGACCAGTCCGGCAAAGGCGACCATAGGAGGATCCAGGACGCCATCGATGCGGCACCGGCGGCGAGCAACAACGGCGGCTCATCCGCCGGCGGCAGCGTCGTCATCCGGATCAGGCCCGCAGTGTACAGGCAAGTGTAGTAGTGAAGGACGATGCTCTCTCGCGCGATCTGGCATGTATACACGCATGCATGTTCATTTCTGGATCCACATGTTGATCAAGCTAATCTCTTTTTTTCTTTTCGAAAGGATCAAGCTAAAACATCTAGTACTACATGTGTTCGCACTGTCCTTTAATTTGCAGAGAGAAAGTGGTGGTGGACAAGCCTTACATAACTCTTGTGGGCACGAGCGCCAGCTCGACCGTCATCACCTGGAACGAGTCCTGGGTGGCCTCTGAGAGCCCGACAGTATCCGTGCTAGCCTCCGACTTCATCGCCAAGCGCTTAGCGTTCCAGGTGTGCATATATATGCAGTCTTGATTAATTGGTTCACGTACTTTAGCACGGTCTTGATTGGTTCCATATATTATTCATTTGCAATCCAGAACACGTTCGGGACTAGCGGGCCGGCAGTCGCCATGAGGGTCGCCGGAGACAGGGCGGCGTTCTACGGGTGCAGGTTCGTGTCGTTCCAGGACACGCTCCTGGACGACATGGGCCGCCATTACTACCGTGGCTGCTACGTCCAAGGGGGCACCGACTTCATCTTCGGCAATGGCAAGGCTCTGTTCGATGTACGTACTTGACTACTTGTGGATCCATCGATCGATCATCAAATCCACATTGCCCTTTATTTCATCCTCAGACGTTTCTGTTACTCGATCAAATTGATGTCGTACGTACGCAGAAGTGCCACCTCCACTCCGTCTCGCCGGCCGGCGGCGCGTTCACGGCGCATGAACGGTCGTCGGAGTCGGTGGACACCGGGTTCAGTTTCGTCGGGTGCAAGCTGACGGGGCTCGGGGTCGGCACGTCCATCCTGGGCCGACCCTGGGGTCCCTACTCCCGCGTCGTCTTCGCGCTCAGCTACATGTCCAGCACGGTGAGGCCCCAGGGCTGGGACGACTGGAGCGACGCTGACAAACAGAGACAGAGGTGCACATTACAGCTGCAGAGCTGCTGAAACTCGATCTCGCATGCATACGTTCTCCGATCCTGACGTGTTCTGGTTCAATGATGTGGCCGTGCAGGACCGCGTTCTACGGGCAGTACCAGTGCTACGGGGAAGGCTCCAAAACTGACGGAAGAGTTGCGTGGTCTCACCAACTGTCGCAGGCTGAAGCTGCACCGTTCATCACCAAGGTTTGGGTTGGTGGACAGGAGTGGCTTCGGTAGAAAGCACTAAATATATCACCATATACGTATGTACAATGCCATTGCATTTGTAGAGTTATCTGTCGTATGCTGTGTGGCTGGTTAACTGTGCGTGTGATTCAGTTCTCTCAGGATGATGGAAACCATGTTCTCTCTGTCCCAGTATGGGAACCATGCATGGTCAGTTGGTGACTCCGTGGGCGCCGGGGAACAAACATTTGTTTCGTATAGGACTCTGTCTCGATCGCTTTGAAGCCAATCCATTGCCAACGGTGAGACCTTAGGTGCATGCATTTTTGCCTCGGCGCGGTGATGCCCCACCAACTGTGAAACAACCTTTCCACTCTGATCCGTAGCCTGCTCTTCCGAAGAAACAAAATATTTCCGACGAACCGTCTCCTCTTCTAAGTGACTCAAGGATGAATGCCACTTACAATCGTCTCTTCAACTCGAAGATAAGACCACAGCATGTTGTCACTTTGTGTGATACCATATATAGCCATATACAACGTACTGATGCCATTGCATTTGTAGAACTAATTAGCTGGTTAGCTGTGCGTGTGAAGTGTGATTCAGTTCTCTCAGGATGTGTCCATCATTTCTGTGATGGAAACCATGTTCTCTCTCTCCATTCCATCTATCTGTTCTAGTTTTGGAACCATGGTCAGTTGGTGACTCCGTGGGCGCCGGGGAACAAACTTTTTTATTTTTAAAAGAACCGAGAGGTTAACTGCTGGTCTATGAACCCAGCACCGGTAACAAGGGTCACCATACAAGCTATAGCAACATCCATGGTTAGAAGGAGGTCCTCCAAAGCGATGCCTCCGTGGAGGAAATGGCGTCCTCGGACGTTTCCAATGCTGAACGGAAAAATCCATTCGAGATCTTTCAACTGAAGACCCCAAGCGAAATGGAGATGGACTTCACAACAAAGCCTCCAACGAGGAAAACGGCATCAAAGACGTCGCCAATGTCAGCTTCAAACATGAAGTAAGGCCTTAGCCCGAAGCCCACCGCACTACCTCACCATGGAAGGGCCACCGCCGTCGCACCGAAGAGGCCATCGCCAAGCGAGACCTATCGCCGAGACAGCGACTGCAAAGATCGAGCCACTGGTATGTTTAGTGAGGACAACCCCTGTTTCTCAGGATCTTTTGCAGGCTGGTGAGACCAATGTTTCAGCTGGTCGTGCGACTATACTTGTGACAGTCCTACTTGGTACTCACCGTATGCATCACTAGCTCGCTTCAGAACCAGGCTAACCCGGTCTTCTCCCACGCTATCCTCAGCCACGCACACACAGGACTCAGGCTCTATCGTCTCCCCAGGCAGTTCCACCCGAAGGGAACACTTCTCTGCGCACACAGGGTTCTCTACAAACGCCGCTACCAGGGCTAACACGAGAACAACACACGCAGAGGCTTCTCCTCTAGGGTACCTAGCATAGAGACATCGCCCCATATGAACAAGCTTATTAAGGAAGGCAGGGATTAAAACAGGAAATCTTAATTCATTTCCACAGAACAAGCTTATATACGGCTTTCTTTTTCGGAAAACCCCAAGCACTTAGCACAAACCTTAGGGATTACCTTACAAGCACAGAAACATCATAGGGACCTCCTTTATTCTTTAATTTACAAAGGTGGAGTGATACAACGGTAGTGGGTGGTTACTATTACATGTGGATAATTCTCAGAGTCCTTATAAGATCATGTCTTCATGGTGTATGTGTGAGTGGAGAGTTGGTGGATGGTGGAGTGGAGTGGATGAGAGTGCAGTGTCTGAGGCTGGTGGTGTTCGGTCTCTGGTTCTTTGATCCGATACTCCGATGCTGAATGAATGCGCCCGGCGTCTCGCTTTATAGCGTGCAGGGAGTGTCCTTCATGCTTATCGTCTGAAGGAGCCTTCGAGGTGAAGTCTTCAATTATTCCTTCTTACTGTTGCCTGAACAGCTGGACGGAGAATAATTGTTCTGGCTACAGTAGAGTGACTATATATTCCTTTTGCGCTGTCCTTCGTCGCACATGGTCTTATCCTTCTGGATATGGATATTCTTTGGTATGGTCTTCCACGCCTGAATGATTGATGTTGCAAACATTAAATCAAGGATCATGGCATGTAGTATGTATTGTAATATTATCTCTTCCCCGGCCAAATTGTTGATAACACCTTATCAACATAGAAAGTATATTTCTTATATATATATATATATTGATATTGAATTGAGTTTATATTGACTCTTCAATATTTTTTTCGTTGTCCACTTTTTTAGGTTGCCATATTTCATACCAGGACAACAATTCACGATATTCTTTTCTTAGTTGACATTCTTTGTCATAGCTAGGCTTTATTAATCTTCCAACTTCTCTTTGTATTATGTTGTACCTTCCATAGTACACTTTGATTATTTTATTTTGGTACATCATATAATATCCAGGAGCAAATTTGATATTTCATTCTAATTCTTTTGCTTCACTGAAAATTCTCCAATTATCATGATTCGTGCCTTTTACAAATATCTCTTCATAATTTTGCCATGACTCTGAAGTCCATGTAGTAGGAAATTTGTATGAACCCTTCATGATATATATATCATGCCATGCTGGTCTTATTGGTTGTGTAAATTTTGGTGGATTAGAATAAAACTTAATTTTGTATTTCCCTTAAATACATGTTAATTTCTTACAAGCTTCTTTGATAGCTATTCCAAGGTCTGATTGGAGTATTTCTTCAAGTGTTCCATATATATCATGGACTAATCCATGATCAATAATAGTTTGTAGAGAAATATCATCTCCAATATTTCTTTGTATGCTTCTGAAATATTTTAAATTTATATCAGCCCTCAATATTAAGAATTTTTGATGAGGCTTAACAATTAATTTATCATCGAGATGAAGTAAAGGAAAAATATTTGCATTCGCAATTATTCCTAGATGTCTTTCTTTACCTTGGTATAATTTTATAAAGTAGTTTTGTATATCATGAAAGGTTTTGTAATGCCTTTCAGCATATTTCTTCCAAATTATATCTATAATATCATGAGTAAAGTATGACAAAGTTTATTCGGTCTTAAAACTAAATCTAGGAATGAGAAACTCTTGTGGAATATTGTTTAAATATTTGTTTCCTTTTTCCTCTAGAATTACTTCTTTTTCTGATTGCACTTTATTTTGCTCATATAGTATTTCAGCTTCTGAGTTATTTTTCATATCACTTTGCTGTTTTAGACATGACATACATGCTTGTCTTAAACATAGCCTACATGTTGCTCTTTTTGCTGGATCTTGATAATATATGCAAAATACACATTTTATATTAGGATCACCTTTTTTTATGATCCCACTTGTGTTCCCAGTTTATTTGATCCATCATTTCTATCTTTAATCCTGCTAACTTATCAATTAAGTCTAACTCTTCATCACTTGATTCTTTTTGTTCATCATATTCTATTTCATCTGTCTCTATAATTGAGTATATCGATTCATCGTTCATTATATCATCATCACGGACTAAAATATTTTCATTCACACTATCTATTATTTGAACCTTTTCTTGTTCTTCTTGCTTATTGGAATATCTTGTCTTTGTTAGGACATGTTTTGTTTAAGTGATCTAGCGAGTTGCAAATAAAGCATCTACATGTACTATCATAATTTTTTCTAGGATTATATCTTCTTACATTCCTCTTATGGAGGAATGGAGCTCTATTGTCTGATCTAATTAGAAAGTAACGTCTCTTAGTCCTTACATTTTCTTTCTTATAATTCTTAGGATATTTCTTGCTTCTAGATCTCTCTTCTCCATATGTTAATGGTATTTGGACTATTTTATTGCAAAAATTATAATCTAATTGCTTCATTGATCTTTGGGCTTGTATGTTCGTGCATATTTTTCTTAACTGTTTGAAAACAAATGTTATAGCCTGAGAGATATTATATTCTTTACCAATAGTTTCTTTTTTATATTCTTCAAATATCATAGAACCTAAAGGATCTGGTAATTTATTGAAATATCTTTCAACTATACCTTGATTATAGCCTTGCTTAGCAGTCGTAGCATTATACAAATAGTGTTGAGAAAATTCTTTTATTCCTTTCCAGCTTGTTAGTGACAATTTTTCTATTTCTTTTAATCTTATCATTCTGTAAAACAGTAAATCCTAATTCAGGATCTTCACTAATTACAATGCTTGATATAATATTTACAAAATTATATGGGTTATTACCAGCCATTTTTAATTGGGCATAATGATTATGGAAATCTTCTATCCATTGTTCTCATAAAACTTTGACTGATTCTCCTAAAAATGTTTCTAAATATGTAATCATATCTTCTACTCTATTTCCAATATTATGCTGATTTTGTATATACTTTTGGACTATCAATCCTTTCCATATGCTAATTATATTTGACCAATCTATAGGATCATGTGCTGCTAAATTTAATATAGCACCATCACTTCTATAGTTCTGGAATTGTACTTTCTTTTCAAATTCTCTTCTTTTTGAACCCATATGCTTATATTGTCCAGGTATATATCTATATGCAGATTCTTGTTTTTCTGGTGGTCAAGTTCCTGGTTTTATAGTTGGTCTCTCACTTTCTCCTTCTATTTTTATTTCAGGACCTCGTCTTCTTTTTGATGAACTTGGATCTATTTCCATTTCTTCTATAGCATTATTTTTAGGCAACTCTTTATTTTCTAAGGGGTTTATGAGAGTTATTGAGTTGTTACTGCCATATCTCAATTGTATCTTCATACTCTTCTTCATACCTTTCTAGTAAGAGCTTATTATTAATTTCCCATTGCTCTTCTTCGCTTATCTCATTATTTTCTATGACTTTTATCTTATCCTTGCTATAATCTAATTCTTTTTGGGCTTCCCTTACCCTATTTTCTATTTGCTTTGACACAAATTCATTTTTCTTTATTGGAATGCTAGATTTCTTATTATTTAACTCTATCCTTTTTTATGTTATTAAGTCTATATATTTCTCGTCTAAAGTAGAGTTCTTTTTCTCTTATAGTAGCACATTGACATATCATAGAGGTTTTGTATTCATCATAAATTTTGCTTAACTTTTGCTCATAATGTTTTATTTCATTATCTATATCTAATTTTTCCATAAATTCACATATGCTATGCCTTCTATTTTCTTCTATTTTGCCTCTGAACTGGATGCTTCTAAATCATCCAAACTTTGTTCTTTATAATCTACGAACCTAATACTAGTTATCCCTCTATTATCTTCATAGCTTATGTAATCTTTAGGTTGTTTTAAAATTTTTGGCTCCATTAACGAGTTTATATTCCATTTTTCTCCTGCTCTTTCTTCAGAATTTATTTTCAGAGGACTCATAAATTTTATTCCTTTAGATTGCATACTTTCTACAACATTGTTCACATTTACCTTATATCTGGTTCCACTTCTGTTGGTTAACCTTCCTATAAATTCTATGCTTACTAATAGATTCGTTCCTTTAAAGTCTTCATATCCTTTAGTCTGAGATCCAAATGTCATCTTATCTATAAATTCTTTAACTGGAATTATTAAATCTGGAGCTATATATGTTATTAACATATTTTCATTCATATCTCCTTCTAAAAATCCTAATGCTGCTTTATTTATGGAGTCCCATCTTTTATCTAATAAAGTTATTAGAACCTTAGTTCCTAATTTTTTTCTTGTCATACCTTTAATTCCAATGATATACATTCCTTGATGTATATATTTATACCCTAAATATTTTAAAGTATTCTCAAATTGTTTACTAACAATTCTTATATTTATTACACTTAATTCTACTTCTCTAGATATTCTATATAATCTATTTTTATTTTCAAACCAACCCATTTGATATATTTGTTGGGGCCTTATTTTTCTTAGAGTATCTTTCTGATATCTATCAAGATCTTTTTCTACGTCTATCATTTCTTCTAAGGTTTCAATATCATCGCATCATCCCTTTAGTTTATCTTTAAAACCTATAGGTCTTATATCTCTATTTACTAACTAGAGTGACTTGTCTCTTCTAGAGAGGCTTTCAGATACTTCAATCTTTCTGAATTTAAAGATCCAGTGGACTCAACTATTCCTGCTGATGATAACACAATTTCTTTGTTATGCTCAACAATATTAATATTATTAGACTTCTTATATAGGCACGTTATATCTTTTTTAATATAATCACTATTCTAGCTAATTTTACCTAGAGAAACTTTATTTTCTTCTAAAATTTGTAAAGCTAATTCTAATTTATTATTGGTATCTGAATATCTCTCTTCAAGGTGCTTATGCTCCTTTTGCAGTCTGTCAAATTTTAGCTCTAGATCATCTTGCCTCTTTCCCCAAGATATATAAAAGTTATGTATTAAATCAACTATTAGGTTTATCTGTCCGTGAGAGGTATGCCAAGTATGTTCTTCAGAGCTATTTAGTCTGCACCTTACATTTATATTCTCTTTAGTATTGACTGTCTTTTCTGTATTAATTTCTAAATTTAGATAATGTAACTTTTCAATCTTCAACAAGTTATAGTAAATCCCTTAATTTCGAATTTTAATAACCAGGCTTCGATACCACTGCTACCATGGGGGCAAATTTCACTGAGAACTCGAACGGATTCGGAATTCAAATTTTAAAATTTTGAGTTACTATTCACAGCACTATTCAAATTTAGCATTTACTATTCAAATTCATGGCACTATTTAAAATGCTCGCTACTATTTAAATTTAGAATATGACCAGTGCACGAGCACTCACCCGGGAGTGGCTCTGGTACTCAACTTCTTCACTATTCGAGCACTATGCGCGTAGCTATTTGGAGCACTTTGTATTGCTTTATGGATGCAGGATGCGTGCGATTATTGAATATGTGTGCGATTAGTGAATATGCCGATTAATATTTCTCAGGATCTTTTGCAGGCTGGCGAGACCGATGTTTCAGTCAGTCGTGCGACTATGCTGGTGACAGTCCTACTCGATACTCACCGTATGCATCACTAGCTCGCTTCGGAACCAGGCTAACCCGGTCTTCTCCCTCGCTATCCCCAGCCACGCACACGCAGGACTCAGGATCTATCGTCTCCCCAGGCAGTTCCACCTGAAGGGAACACTTCTCTGTGCACATAGGGTTCTCTACAAACGCCGCTACCAGGGCTAACACGAGAACAACACACACAGAGGTTTCTCCTCTAGGGTCTCTAGCATAGAGACATCGCCCCATATAAACAAGCTTAAAGGAAGATAGGGATTAAAACAGGAAAGCTTAATTCATTTCCACAGAACAAACTTACATACGGCTTTCCCTTTCGGGAAACCCCAAGCACTTAGCACAAACCTTAGGTACTACCTTACAAGCGCAGGAAGATCATGGAGACCTCCTTTATTCTATAATTTACAAAGGTGGAGTAATACAACGGTAGTGGGTGGTTACTATTACAGGTGGATGATTCTCAGAGTTTTTCTGAGATCATGTCTTCATGGTGTATGTGTGAGTGGAGAGTTGGTGGACGGTGGAGTGGAGTGGATGAGAGTGCGGTGTCTGAGGCTGGTGGTGTTCGGTTTCTGGTTCTTTGATCCGATACTCCGATGCTGAATGAATGCGCCCGGCGTCTCGCTTTATAGCGCGAAGGGAGGGTCCTTCATGCTTATCGTTTGAAGGAGCTTTCGAGGCGAAGTCTTCAATTATTCCTTCTTACTGTTGCCTAGATAGCTGGACGGAGAATAATTGTCCTGGTTACAGTAGAGTGACTGTATATTCCTTTTACGCTGTCCTTCGTCGCGCACGGTCTTATCCTTCTGGATATGGATATTCTTTGGTATGGTCTTCCACGCTCGAATGATTGATATTGCAAACATCAAATCAAGGATCATGGCATGTAGTATGTATTGTAATATTATCTCTGGTATATATATATATATATATATAAAAGAGGCGGACGAAACGGAGTAGGATGCCGCGTCCGACAGGACGAACGCGGCTAAGCGTTTCCATTCAGATAAAGATTTTGCCACGAGTGTAGAATGTACTGTAGGTTAAGATTTTCAGATACCATCAACCATCCCTCTCGGCCCGTTATCGCTGGTTGGTGCCAAGAATACGCTTGCCCCGTAAAGGCTACCAAGCAATGAGGACTTTTGTTTCTGATGAGCAACAACTACGCAAACGGTGTGTCCGCAGTCCACGTACGTCAGTGTTTCCTTTAAGCCAAAGGACACATAGGTGTTCAACCTAGGATCGATTAGTGAGGCTCAAGAACAAACCCTGCTTTGACGATAAAAAGGAATACATGAGGAACGATACAGTTCGCTTCGACGCCGCCGACTGATGTCCAGCAGCTCTGCAGCTGCCACTCCTCCCGCTCGCACTACTCATGTCACCATCACAGTTTCCTTCACGCATCGCCTCGACCCTGCGTTACTCTCCCGACCGTTCCAGCCGGCCATCTCACCACCCACCAGCTCCTGCTCCAGCTCTCTCTGGTCTCCAAGACTCCAACCACCTTGTTATTCAACCAAGCTAAGTGATTTCCCACTTCGCCAGAGCCTGGAGCCCTCGACGTCTGTGAAGATATAAGGAGGCGCAACACGCACGGATACGGAGCGCCGGCATCGCATCTGCAGCTGCAATGGCGATGGCCTCCTCTCGGCACGGACTCCCCCTAGTGCTCTCGGCTCTCCTCCTTGCAGTCCTCACTCTCTCTGCGCAGGCTGACGTCAAGAGATACCAATTCGACGTGAGTATATACACATATATGCTGTTGATTATTATCATTGTTCTTGTTGCTCGCGGTTTTGTGGTCGTGGATACAATTCGGCGCTTAATTTGATCGTACGCACGCACGCAGATCGTGATGAGCAACGTGAGCCGGCTGTGCCATGCGAAATCCATGGTGACGGTGAACGGCAGCTACCCTGGGCCAACCATCTACGCCCGCGAAGGGGACCGCGTCGTCGTCCGCGTCACCAACCGCGTCGAGCACAACGTGACGATCCACTGGCACGGGCTGAAGCAGCGCCGGAATGGGTGGGCGGACGGGCCGGCGTACGTCACGCAGTGCCCGATCCAGGGCGGCGGCGGGAGCTACACCTACGACTTCAACGTCACGGGCCAGCGCGGGACGCTGTGGTGGCACGCGCACGTCGCCTGGCTGCGCGCCACCGTCCACGGCGCCATCGTCGTCCTCCCCGAGCGCGGCGTCCCCTACCCGTTCCCCAAGCCCGACGCCGAGGCCGAGATCATCCTGGGTACGTGAGTACGTAGTGACCGATCGATCGGCCGGTCCACCCACTGTCCAGCTTGTGTGTTACACTCTGACGAACGACGACGCTCGATCGTGCTGGTGGGTTTGTGTTGGTGTCGCAGGCGAGTGGTGGCACGCCGACGTGGAGGCCGTGGAGAAGCAGGGCCGCATGCTTGGCATGGCGCCCAACATGTCCGACGCGCACACCATCAACGGCAAACCCGGCCCGCTCTTCCCGTGCTCCGAGAAACGTGCGTGGGAATGTTGCTTATGATGGTCTCTTGGACTGATGGGTTCTTGTTGGTACTTTTGCATTGCTAATGACACAAGGTAAGGTATTGGTGTTACTAACCGTGCTCCTTGCACATGTCATGTCTTGCTTCGATCAGATACGTACGTCCTGCAGGTGCAGTGGGGGAAGACGTACCTCCTCCGGGTCATCAACGCTGCAGTGAACGACGAGCTCTTCTTCTCGATCGCCGGGCACACCATGACGGTGGTGGAGATCGACGCCACCTACACCAGGCCCTTGGCGGCGTCCACCATCCAGCTCTCGCCCGGCCAGACCACCAACGTGCTCGTCCGCGCGGCCCAGCGGCCCGGGCGGTACTTCATGGCCAACCAAGCCCTTCAACGACGTGCCCGTCCCCGCGGACAACAAGACGGCCACCGCCATCCTCCAGTACGCCGGCGTCCCGACCTCCGTCCTTCCCGCCGCACCCCGGCTGATGCCCGACACGAACAGCACGCGCTCCGTGACCGCGTTCCACGACAGGCTCCGGAGCCTCAACTCGGCGCGGTACCCGGCCGACGTGCCGCATGCCGTGGACCGGCACCTGCTGTACACCATCGGGCTCAACATCGACCCATGCGCGTCGTGCCTGAACGGCTCCCGCCTCGCGGCGTCGCTCAACAACATCACGTTCGTGATGCCCCCGGTGGCGCTGCTGGAAGCGCACTACGGCGGACTGAGAGGCGTCTTCGCCGCCGACTTCCCCGACCGCCCGCCGGCGCGGTTCAACTACACGGGCGTGCCGCTCACGTCGGGGCTCGCCGCGTCTCTGGGCACGAGGCTGAGCAAGCTCGCGTACAACTCCTCCGTGGAGCTGGTGCTGCAGGACACCAACCTGCTGTCCGTGGAGTCGCACCCGTTCCACCTCCACGGTTACAACTTCTTCGTCGTCGGGAGGGGCCTCGGCAACTTCGACCCGGCCAAGGACCCCGCCAAGTACAACCTCGTGGACCCGCCCGAGAGGAACACCGTCGGCGTGCCCGCCGGCGGCTGGGCCGCGATCCGGTTCAGGGCAGACAATCCAGGTGTTTGGTTCCTGCACTGCCATCTGGAGGTGCACACGAGCTGGGGCCTCAAGATGGCCTTCCTGCTGGAGGACGGCGATGGCCCTGATGAGTCGGTTTTGCCGCCGCCCAAGGATTTGCCCAAGTGCTGAAGCGGCGACCGCACAATTCCCTGCGAGTAGCAAAAGCCCGCGATTTCTTTCGCACGTCCTTCTGCTTTCTAACGACCCCTCTGCAACAAGTTTGCAGTGGATCTGTGTACGTAAAGACTTCCAGCCATGCTAACACAATGCAATTCCCTGATTAATTTGTGGCTCAACAAATAAAAGTCCGTTCACTGCATTGCTTATTGACTTGCTCTCAAGCTAGTGCACTACCGCAGCAGAGGGCGTCTCCTGTAGCTTACCATGACCTCCCCTTTGGGCCTCATGGAGATCATGTTCTCCGTCTCCGGGAAGGGAGAAACCAGCTGGAGCTCGAAGTTCCTGAGGAGATGGCTCAGTATCACTTTGATCTGCAGGTAGGCGTATCCCTCGCCCATGCAGGCATGCTTCCCGGCGCCAAAGGAGGTGTAGGCCAGGTCGCCGCCGACCCTGTCCTCCTCCCTCCCGGCGGCGAAGCGATCCGGGTCGAACACATCAGGGTCCCTGTAGATGCCCTGGAGCAGATTATTCACCACCAGCGGGCTCGCCAGCATGCGCCCCTCGGGGACCTCGTACTCGGCGCCGTCCTGAGTGCGCACGGTGAACGCCCTGCGCGCGCGGCGGAGGATCATTGGGGTCACCGGGTGGAGCCGCAGCGCCTCCTTGACGCTGCGGTGGAGGACGTCCATCCGGAGCAGGACGTCATAGTTGATGACTGCTGCAGCGTCGTCGTTCTGATCGTTCCTCTGCAGAAGCAGCAGCAGCAGCCGCCTCTGCTCCTCCGTGGCCGCGTGCAGCCACTCTGCGTGGTGGAGAAGGCGCGCCGCCGTCCAGGTGGTGACTGTGGCGCTGGTGTGGTGGCCGGCGAAGAGCAGCGCCACGAGCAGGCCGGTGACCTCGGCCTCGGTCGTGCCGCGGCCGTCTCTGTACCTGGAGTCCAGCAGGCCCTGCAGCATGTCGTGGTCGCGGTCGCCGTCGTCGTCCCCGGCGCCGCGGCCGGATGAGATTGAGCTCCTGCGCAGCCTGGCGATCCCGGAGAATATCTCCTCGAGCCTGGCGCGCGCTCGGTCGCGGCGGCGGTGAGCTGGGGTCGGGAGGTACGGGAAGAAGAGGCTGACTAGGTGCAGGCCGCCGATGAGCTCGTGGAGGAGCGAGGACACCTCGTCGTGCATGTGATCCCGGACCTCCTTCCCCAGCAGGCACCGGCTCGCGATCAGCACGAGCACGTTCTCGACCTCTTGCTTCAGGTCGACCGTGCCGGACTGGCCCCACTTGGCGAAGTACTCCTCCACCTCGCCCACCATGAGACGGGCATGGCTCCTGAGCTTGGCCGGCCTCAGAGTGTCGGCGAAGAACCTGTGCTGCTCGTTCCGCGTGTCGTGGTCGACGTCATAGCCGACCCCTTTGCCGAAGATCGGGACGGTGACCTTGTAGACGTCGCCGATGCTGATCTCCGACTCGGCGGCATGGAAGAAATGGGCGGAGACCTCGGGCCCCACCAGGAACGTCACCTTCACTCCCAAGGAGCTCAGAGTGAACACGCTGCCGAGCTTCGAGTACTGGTCGCAGATCACGTCCTGCAAGCTCCTGGTGAGGATGGCGGGCAGCACTCCGAGGAGAGGAGCGCACTCCGCCACCGGCGGCCCTTTGCGCTTGGGAGGGGCGACGACGGTTCTTCCCATCTTGGTGGCAGTCAGGATCAGGACGGAGGCGATAGGGAGAACGGCGATCGCCATCACCGCCAACCACGTGTGCGCAATCGTTGTTGTCTGATGATCTTCCATGGAGTACATCACTATATCAGTATGTAGTGTAGTGCTGTCCTTGGATCGGATTCAATCAGCTGCTGCAAATAAAGAGGAATTAGTATCGGTCTGGTATGATCGGTACAGATATGCACGAATCCAGGAGTCTGGATGCATGGCTTACTCGCACTGAAGTCGATTAATGATGTATAATAAATCTTACACTACCAGAAGCTAAACACTTGTGGGTACGCAGTAAGTCGTAGTGAATTAGTACCAGATCGAAGTCGAACATACCCGCAGGTAGAGTGTTTTCGCTCCGGCACCGGCAGACCGCTGTGTGGGGAAGGGAAAGGGATAGAAGAGGACAAGGATGGGAAGGATAAGACCGACGGGCTTTATTCATGCAGTGTGGTGAGGCTTGTAGAGATGTAAACATGTATAGTTGGATGGACTCCACGTCGTGCATCGGATGTATGAGAGAGATAAAAAAAAATATATGTGTTTTTTTTACCAAAATACATGTGTGTTGTATAGCATTTTTGTATTTATATTCGAAAGAATTTGCAAGATCAACTTAACTAACCCACTAGCAGGAACAAACCAACAACGCAACGCATGACAGGAACCTACTACCACTCTATCGACTTTGCCGATAACACGAATATGACGAGTAAGATCGATGGTCGATACCCTTTGTCCTTTTCTTTCAAAACTCAGCGTAGATGAAGATGCTCAAGCACGCACACTCACCCCTACCAGGCTACCACTGAAAAAAAATATCACCGTTGCATTATATCGTTTTAGAAAATACAAGCACTAGATAGTTTGACCACAGGAAACCTAACGATCAATTCATTTCAACATAACACTATTATCTTCAGGGATCAGAGGAAAACGGCGCTTCGAGTGTTTGACGAGATCAAGGACACAGCCCATTGCTGGGCGTTAGCCCGTAGGTCGGCACTTCAGCCACCAATGGTTGCACAATTAGGTAGCAAGTAATACACCTTAGCCATGTTCGCTTGGCTGACAAATTATGGTTGAAAGTACTGTTGACAAGTACTATCATGAGAAAAAAATACTATTCGTTGATTGAAAAAGTACGATTTATAAGTCAAGCGAACCGGACGCTTGTTTCTTTCTAAAACCTACGCAGCGTAGGCTGTGTTAGGGGAGTGCTCCTCGTGCATGTAATCGGATGTTTCTGCTCCCTTCTTATTATTAATGAAAGCCGGAATGTTCTAGATCTTTCAAAAAAAATCATGAGATTGATCAAATTTATATATAAGCTTATCAATGCATATGATACCAAAAGAAGTATCATTAAATTCATAATAAATGATATTTTTTATATTTTTCTGTAAATTTAGAATGAAGCTAGAACTGCTATGATTTTTCTTCTGGAACAAAGCGATCATGTATATATTATGCCCGTGCTTCGTGATGCTTGTTTTATTATTTCCACTCCTAAAGTTTGTGACACGTGAGACCGATAATAATTGATGGAGATCAGTGGCGACTCGAGAACAAGTTAGAAATAGGTGCACTTACTATTGAAATATAAGTGAATTATCTATCTCTTTTTATCAGCTTAAGCTTTTGAGTTGAGTTAGTAGGTGCGTACAACTTAATATGGTATTAGAGCTAGAGGTCTCGAGTTCGAATCCTGGTTACCGCAATTAAAATAAAACAATTGCTGCTCACTCCTATTCCACGTCTGAGGCCTGAGGGAGCCTCCACGTGAATGTTAGAATATAAGTGAATTGCCCACCTCTTCCCGTCAGCTTAATTTTTTTTTGGGTCTAAGGCCTGAGGGAGCCTCCACGTGAGAGGGAGTGTTGAAATATAAGTGAACTGCCCACCTCTTCTCATTAACTTAAACTTTTGGGTTGAGTTAGTTGATACATACAACTTAATACTTACCTTTTGGTACATAGAATTATGCTAATGAGAGTACATATGCATTAAGAGAGAGAGAGAGCACATATATGATGAAATTTTAGATGGAAAAAGAAAAAGAAAACCACGGCGGGTCCCATGATATGATGGAAGCAAAGGCTCGAGATAAACGTGACAGATGACAGGGATATATACAACTCCGTACTATATGCAATGAGAAAGCGACGCCTAGATTTCCATTTCTGTCTACAGTTTAAACCTTTCGAAGTGCATCTCTAGAGGTCCATCCGATATATTTCTGGGCTACATCATCCGCGCCCGTGACATCGAACCCAACCCCGACAAGGTCTTCGCCATCATCAACATGAAACGCCTAACTTGTGTAAAAGACATACATAAGCTTACAGGCTGCATGGCTGCTCTCAGCCGCTTTATATCGCGCCTTGACGAAAAGGGACTACCGTTCTTCAAACTTCTCGAGGCCTCCGAGCGCTTCTCCTAGTCGAATGAGGCAGACACAGCTTTCGAGCAGCTTAAGTTGTTTCTAACAAAGCCCCCGATCATGACGGCGCCTCGACCAGACGAAACTCTACTGATCTACATCGCCGCCACTTCTCGCGTCGTTAGCACAGCTATCGTCGTCGAACGCGAGGAGGCCGGCCACGCCTATAAGGTGCAACGTCCGGTCTACTTTATCAGCGAGGTCCTTACTGAGCCCAAAACTCGTTATCCTCAAGTTCAGAAACTGCTATACGCTATTCTGATCACGTCACGCAAGCTCTGCCATTACTTTGAGTATTACAAGATCACCGTGGTCACCGAGTTCCCTCTAGGGGACATTCTCCGCAATAAAGAGGCCAATGGCCGCATCATCAAGTGGGCTGTTGAGCTCGGCACTTACTCCATTGAATTCAGAAGCAGGCCTACCATCAAGTCACAGGCGCTCGCTGACTTCGTTGCCGAGTGGACCGAGATCCAAGAGCCCATCCCCCCTACTTGCCCCGAGCACTGGGTGATGTACTTCGATGGCCCCCTCAACATCAACAGTGCTGGTGCTGGCATTCTGTTCATTACGTCGACCAAGGATAAGCTCCGATACGTTCTCCGAATACATTTTCCGGCCTCCAACAACACCGCTGAATATGAAGCGTGTCTCCACGGACTCTGTATAGTCATTGAGCTCGGCGTCAAATGCCTCATGGTATACGGAGACTCCACGTTGGTCATCAACCAGCTCAACAAAGACTGGTCCTGCTCCAGTGAGAAGATGGACGCATATTGCGCTGAAATCAGAAAACTCGAAGGGAAGTTCTACGATATCGAGTACCACCACGTGGTACGAGATCAAAATCAGCTCGCCGATCACCTATCTAAGATAGGCTCTTCTCACGCCGTGATCCCGCCTGGGATTTTCGTTCAAGACCTCTTTACGTCGTCTATTAAGGAAGAGAAGGAAGTTCAAGAAATTCCCCCCGCCGAGCAGCTGGTACTTATAGTACCTTCGCCAGCCGCCGATTGGAGGGAACAGTTCATCAAGTACCTCACCAGCACCAACGTACCTACCGACAAGACTGAAATCGAACGCCTAATTCTTTGAAGCAAGCATTACGTGTTGGTGGACGGGAACTTGATGAGGAAAAGTGCCAAGGAAGGGATATTGTAGAAATGCATCACCCAAGAAGAGGGAGTGAAACTACTTCTCGAAATTCACTCTGGTTCCTGCGGCAACCACGCGGCCTCGAGAAACCTAGTTGGCAAGGCTTTCCGAGCCGGTTTTTACTGGCCCACGGACATCATCGACGTAGAAGACCTCGTCCGACGTTGTGAAGGATGCCAATTTTTCGCTAAGCAAATACACGTGCCGACACAAGAACTGCAGACCATCCTAGCTTCCTGGCCTTTTGCATGCTGGGGACTGGACATGATCGGGGCCTTCAAGGCAGCGCCAGGTGGTTTCCGGTATGTGTACGTCACCATCGACAAGTTCTCCAAGTGGATCGAATACAAACCGCTTGTTTCGGCTACTGCTAAGAAGGCAGTCGAGCTCTTCGAACATATCATCCACAGATTAGGTCCCCCGAACAGCATTATCACCGACCTTAGAACTACATTCACTGGTCATCATTGTTGGGACTTCTGCGAAGACCGATGCATCTTCGTCAAATACGTCTCCGTTGCCCATCCTAGAGCCAACGGCCAGGTCGAACGGGCGAACGACATGATCCTTGATGCCCTAAAAAAGAGGCTATATCAGAAAGAAGAAAAGCATCCGGGTAGATGGCTCAAAGAGCTACCAGCTGTGGTCTGGGGACTCAAGCTAGTCGCAGCACCGGTGTGTCTCCATATTTCTTGGTCTACGGCTCTGAGGCTATACTTCCAGCGGACATTGCCTTCCGAGCACCTAGGGTGGAACATTATAATGAAGAGCAAGCCATAGCTATTCAGACAGAGGACGTCGACAGGGCCGAAGAAGAACGCCTGATCACCTGTGTCCGCACAGCCAAATACCTAGAAGGCTTATGGAGATACTACATCCGCAACATTAAAGGTCGTTCATTTGCTGTCAGCGACCTCGTTCTCCGCAAAAAACAGAAAACCGAAGGGATGCACAAGCTCTCCTCCTCCTGGGAAGGGCCTTACGTGGTCAAAGAGGCTACCCGACCAGGGTCTTATCGGCTATGTGACTTGGACAGAATCGATATCCCCAATTCATGGCACATCAAGCACCTTATACATTTCTATCCTTGAAACGCTCAAGATATGTATTCTCCACTCCATAATGAATGAAGTTTTGGTCGCCATAATTTGTCTCCATTATATCTCCATTATGGTTTAATCTCCAATTGCGGTCGCCAGCTCTAAGCTACTACTTAACAAACTCCAATACATGATCTCCATAAACGCTCCGCCACATTTCTCCATATCTCTAAGATATTTCGCCAACCGCCGAGCAGCACACATTTTGTTTTCTGCTCTATGGAGAAGACCCAGTCTCCGATCTCTCCCTACACATGCTACGGGCTCCGCGCTCTGCGTTATGGGTGGTCGGCTGTGGTTCCTTGGTCACGCCTATTCCTCCTACACGTGCA